GCAAGTTCTAGTCCCGCCTTAGGCATAAAAGTTGGCTGGGTGACTGTGGGCCAATCCCCAGGGAGACTGTGAGTTCTAATCCCGCCTTAGGCGTAAAGATTGGCTGGGTGACTGTGGTCCAATCCCCAGGGAGACTGTGAGTTCTAGTCCCGCCTTGGCCATAAAAGCCAGCTGGGTGACTGAGTTCTAGTTCCGCCTTAGGCATGGAGAAGCTGGTTGGGTGACTTTAGACAAGTTTCTCTCAACCTGTATTAGGCTTGTCGGCCAATTCTTGTCACAACCAACAGTCAGTTAATCTGAAGAAAAATGTCGGTCACACACATTCCACAAAGCTGCATTTGCTGCCCATGTGGTTTAGCCCTAAGGCGGATTTTCCAATATGCAAACATACCTTTCCCGCTTCCCTGCCTCCACTGGCATTTTCCCATCAGTACTCCAAAACCTCCACATTCTTCACACTCAGGTCGCCTTTTGCTCATAGCACAGGAGTCTGGACAGTTCTTATCATTCTGTATAACTGAGAAGACAAAGAACATCAGGGGTACTGCCGTCACCCTCATGTTGCAGAAATCCTTTACAACCCACTAATGTCAGGCACGAAAAATAAGGGTCACGCATAATGTTCCAGTTCAGAAGAGTTATTGCTCGACTCCAAAATAAAATATCTAGTTAACTAATGCTCAGCACTACATTGCTGTTGTGGTCCACTGGCGGCCTGCGGAGCTGGCAGCAGAGTCTGACAGTGAGGAGGTTGGGCCAGTCCTAGAGTCTGGGGAAGGCTTGGATGAGGGCTCTCTGTTGGAGGCAGAGAGGGGGCCAGGGCCATCTGGGAGTTATGTGCTGCCTCCATAGCCTCTGGAGTCTGACATCAGCGAGGCAGATGAACAGGGGGAGCTTGTTCCCAGTGCGCGCAAGCGCAGAGCTGCCAGAAAGCAAGAACAATTAAGACCAAAGGGGTTTAAAGAGTAAGGCTTAGAGATGATTGACCCCTCCCATAAGATATAAGAGAGGAGCAAACAAATGTGAGCTTTTGCAGGAAGCAACTTTGTTCGTTTTGGTCAGTTTAAACTCTGAAGCTCCGTTTTGACTCTGTGCTCCATTTGGCCTTGCAAAACTAATTGGCAATTAGGTCTCTGGCATCGTTTCAAGGGAGGCGGGTACTTATCAGCCTGATCCCGAAAGACTGTGGCAGACTTTTGTCGGACTCTTCACAAAGTGTTTATGACTCATTACGGGCTGTGAATGAACATAATTCACAGCTGTTTAAATAAAAAGAAGGTTTTGGGGACTAAACATGTGATTTTTACTGTCTCAGGAAGCCTATGTTAGAACAATTGCTGACTAGGTACTAGGTATGAGTTAATGGATTAACTCTTACCTAACTCTTACCCTTCTCCTACATAGAAAAGGCTTCAGCCAGTGATTGACTTCATGGGGCATGTGATACAACTTCTTTGGTGACTTCTTTCCTTCTTCTGGGATGTTTTAATGACTTCCTAATCTAGCCTTCAGCCCTGGCTGAAGCTGGTGTTCACCCACCCAAGTGTTCCCCAGGAATTATTCTGCTTCGCTTCTTCTGAGATCAGCCAAGGCTGGCTGGGTAATCCCCAATGAATATATGGATGCATCCAGTGGTGGGATTCAGCCGGTTTGGGGGAACCAGTTGTTAAATTGCCCTTCCTGCCCCGCCCCTTCCAGGAGTCCCCCCGCAGCCCGTTTTTGCTCCCAGGAGGCTGCAGGAGGCCGGGTGCTACCTGTCACACACCCCTGGCCATGCCCACCTTGGCCACGCCCACCCAGCCAGTCAGTAGAGCAGAGAACTTGTTGTTAAATTATTGGAATCCCATCACTGGATGCATCCATTCATGTTTCTATATCTGGTATGGCACCTGAGTCACGGCCACTGTAATTCAATTCCATTCCATCCTATTTCATAATCTATTCCATTCCATATTCTATTCCATTCTGTTCTATTCTATTCCATCCCATAATCTATTCTATTCCATTCTATTCCATCCCATTCCATAATCCATTCCATTCCATAATCTACTCCATTCCTTTCCATTCTATATTCTATTCTATTCTGTTCTATTCTATTCCATTCCATCCCATCCCATAATCTATTCCACCCCATTCCATAATCTATTCCATTCCATCCCATTCCATAATCTATTCCATTCCATAATCTAATCTAATCTATTCCATCCCATCCCATAACCTATTCCATTCCATATTCTATTCTATTCTATTCCATTCCATTCCATTCCATAATCTATTCCATTCCATAATCTATTCCATTGCATTGCATTGCATATTCTATTCTATTCCATTCCATTCCCAGGTCCCCACCCCCACCCACCCCGATCTTCTTATCTTCTGTGCCAGACCTTCTGGAGACCTCCTGTTCAAGGATCAACAAGGTCTAACTCTACTTTTTAAAGACCAGCCAAAATGTGTTAGGTACTGCCACTTTCTTGAACTTTCATCCAGGAACCTCTTCTATCAGACATCACACAATTGTGAGTGAACTGATACTTCTTTTCTAAATTGAGGCTCTACAATCCAGGGCTCTGTGCCTCTCTAGCAGCTGAATGGTTTTGGCGCTTCCCTGTCTAGCAATACAGCTGTGGTGGCAGAATGGTTAGAAGGCAGTATTGCAGGCTAATTCTGCCCACTGCCAGGAGTTCAATCCTGAATGGCTCAAGGTTAACTCAGCCCTCTGTCCTTCTGAGGTCGGTAAAATGAGGACCCAGAATTGTTGGGGGCAATATATTGACTCTGTAAACTGCTTAGAGAGGGCTGTAAAGCACTGTAAAGTGGGATATAAGTCTCAGGGCTATTTCTATCTATCATGTAATTATCATGTATCTATCTATCCATCCATCCATCCATCCATCCATGGTGGCACAGTGGTTAGAATGCAGTATAGCGGGCTAATTCTGCCCACTGCCAGGAGTTCAATCCTGAACAGCTCAAGGTTAACTCACCCTTCCATTCTTCCTAGATTGGTAAATGAGGACCCAGAATTGTTGGCAGCAAGATGCTGACTCTGTAAACTGCTTAGAGAGGGCTGTGTAAAGCACTGAAATGGGATAAAACTCTAAGGGATATTGCTATCTATCATGTAACTATCATCTCTCTGTCTGTCCGTCCGTCCGTCCATCCATCCAGGGTGGCACAGTGGTTAGAATGCAGTATAGCAGGCTAACTTTGCCCACTGTCAGGAGTTCGATTCTGACCGGCTCAAGGTTGACTCAGCCTTCCATGCTTCCAAGGTGGGTAAAAAGAGAAGCCAGAATTGTTGGGAGCAAGAGTCTGACTCTGTAAACCACTTAGAGAGGGCTGTAAAAGTTTAAGTATAAGTCTATATAAGTCTGAGTGCTATTGCTATCTCTGTATTTCCTCTTGTGTAAAAGCCTAAACAAAGTTGACTTATTTAACTGACTGAACAATAAAAGAAGTGGTACCAGAGTCTTGGCCTTAGGAACTTCAATGATTAATTTCTTTCACAAGTGAAAGGGAACAAGCGGTTTAGAGCAGGGGAAAATTTCATCATGAAAATCTCTGTCGCAATCCCAGCAAGAACTGGGCAAGGGGTAAACATCCCTTTGTTCTTTACTTGCAGGGTCTGTTGTATATCAACTAACTCCACCCTCCTGTTCAAGGCTAATCCAAACTGCAGCTTTCCAGAAGCATCAAAAGTCTTACGTGATCCTTCAAGTATGACAGTAAGATGAGCGAAAGCTTCCTTCCTGCTCCACTCCTCTTTAGCTAGCACAGGGTAGTGGATTACTCTGCATTCGGGGCTCTGCAGCAGGGCTGAGTTGTTCACGTAGAGAATCCCGTACTTGTCATCGTGGCTTGGAGCAACCTCCACCGCGTAGCAGCTGACATTTGGACTCTCTAAGCTGTAGGTGATGCTGACACCGTAAAACTTCATGCAGTTGTCAATGCAGAGTTTTCCTATCTAGGCTCAAAAGAGAGAGAGAGAGAGAGAGAGAGAATGGGAACAAGGAAAGAGAAATTGTCAAACTGTCGAGTTCCTGAAGAACAGGAGAGAAGAGAGGAGGGGAGAAGAAGAGAGGAGAAAAGAGAGAAAAGAGAAAGAGGGGGAAGAGAAAGGAAAGGAAGAGAAGAGAGAGAAGGGAAGGGAAGGGAAAGAGAGAGGGGGTGAAGGGACAGAAGGGGGAGGAGAAAAGAGGAGAAAAGAGAGAAAAGAAAGAGAGGGAATGAAAAAGTGAAAGGGGGGAGGGAGAAGAGTTGAGAGAAGAGAAAAAGAGTGGAGAAAAAAGAGAAAAGAGAGAGAATCGAAGGGAAGGGAAGATGAAAGAGAGAGGGGGAAGGGAAGAGGAAAGAGAGAGGGGGAAGGGAAGAGGAAAGAGAGAGGGGGGAAGGGAAGAGGAAAGAGAGAGAAGGAAGGGAAGGGGAGGGGAGAGGAGGGGAAAGGAGAAGAGGAGAGACTTTGGAGATCTTCTAATCCAGGGGTCCCCAACCCCCCAGTCCATGGACTGACACCAGTCCGGGGCATGCCAGAAACCAGTCCATGGAAACAAACATAGCCCCATCCACAGGATGCTGTCGGCACGTGAAACCATCACCACCCCTTCAGTCCACAGAAAAAACTCTCTCCATGGAACTGGTCCCTGGTGCCCAAAAGTTTGGGGAGCACTGTATCTAGTCCTATCCCCTGTTGGAACAGGAGACCCTCTACCATTCCAGACAAATGGCTGTCCAATCTCTACTTAAAAGCCTCCAGTGATGGAGCACCCATCATGTCTGGAGGCAAGTCGTTCCACTGACGAATTGTTCTCACTGTCAGGAAATTCCTCCTTAGTTCCAGGTTGCTTCTCTCCTTGATTAGTTTCCACCCATTGTTTCTTGTCCTGCCCTCCAGTGCTTCTTGTTTTGTCTTCAGGTGCTTTGGAGAATAAGTTGACCCCCCAATCTTCTTTGTGGCAGCCCCTCAGATATTGAAAGACTGCCATCATGTCCTAGCCCTTCTCTTCATTAAACATACCCAGTCCCAGCAATCTCTTTGGAAAAGGTATAAAATAAGTAGACCATCAATCAATATATTCAAAGCCATTACAATTTGGGGAAAACTATTATTATTCAAAATGCAGCACAATGTTTTCTTCTGCAGTCGTGTCATGCCCCCATCCGAGTCTGACTCTGCGGGGGAAGAGGACTGACAGCGAGTGAGAGCGCAGCTCCATTGACCTTGGAGGAAACTGGGGGAGGGCAGAGTCAGTCCAGGAAAGGCTTTTTGTAATTAGTAAGGCTTGCAGGCAGGGAGGAACAGAGGCAGGTTGGAGAGACAGAGCTCAGACGAGGAGCAAGAACCACCCTCTCCTGTTCCAAGGGCTTGGAGAGTGCAGAGAAGGCGTGATCAGCGGAAACAGAGCAGGTTACTCAGGTTCCCCGCCCATCTTCACCAGGCACATCTGGGGAATGAAACTTAAGGAGACACAGACAGTGCTGGGCTGGACTAATTGCAGCCAGAGGCTGCTTGAGGTTTGTGGGGTGGGGGTGTGTTGATAGCACTCTCCTCTGGGACTTGCCAGAAACGTGGGAGCATTTGGGGAGATTTGGAGCAATAAAGAGGATGTTTGAACTGCCAACTGCGTGTGTTATTGTTGAAAAGATACCCCAGTTCCCTTTTTAACGCAGCTCTAGCTTTTCATCGCAATACTGGTGATTCAAATAGAAAAGCCTCCAAAAAGTCACAACTGCCTTGCAATTTTTGTTGTAAGCCATTCAATGATGTTTCAGACATGTTGCAGGAAATCCCTGCTGCTCTATCCATTTGTTGCATTGCTAAAATTGCTAAAATGGCCTCAACTCCTCTTCACCTTTGCAGAATTTATTTGCGGAGGACATTCGGGCCTTCGTGCATCTTGTATCGGGTCATGTCTCCAAATTGGATCAATTTTTTTCCTACAGATTATGGGCCAAAAAGTTGGATTAGAAATGGAGAAACCCAGGATCAAGTTAGCTGTTCTCTGTGGAAACTCACCTAGGTGATTTTGGACCGCTCCTTCTCATCCCAAACAGAAGTCAAAACACTTGGAGAAAATCAAAATAAATTGCTATAGAAGCCCCTTCACTTCTTGGAAGAAAAGCAAGCTATGAATCTTAAGTGTAAACAGGGGCCTTTCTCCCTCGTTGGTCCAACCAAGATATGGAAAGGCTCAAATTCATAACCATGGAAATGTAATGACTAAATTCCCTGGAATAATAAGGGACACGATGACAAGTTATCTAAAATGCCAGATCATTTGCATTAAAGTAGTAAATAAGAAAATGCATATTACATCCTAATGTTCTAGTCCCGTGATGGCGAACCTGTGGCACGCATGCTGGAAGTGGCATGACAAAGCCATCTATCTGGGCACACCAGCCGTTGCCAGTTGCTCTTCCGGGTTTTGGAGTACACATGTGTGCCGGCCAGCTGGTCTTGCGCATGCATACATGCCAGAAACCAGGTGACCGGCATGCATGCACATGCCGGAAACTGGAAGCTCAGCTTCTCAGCGTGCACATGCATGCCGGGAAACTGCTCTTCCGGTTTCTAGCACCTCCAGGCGTGCGCACCAGGAAGCTGCTCTTCCGTTTTCCAGTCGTCGTCATCCCCGCGCACTCCCATTTTGGCGCTCAGTGCCAAAAAGTTTCGCCAACACTGTTCTAGCCTCCTCCCTAGGCACAGTAAAATGGTTTATAAACCGAGCAGATGCAACTAAAGCAAATTTTAAAAAAGTAATCAAAACATTAATAAACGGAAAAAGCACATTAGATTCAGCCATAAACAAGCCTTGACCGAGCATCAAACGTTTTAAGAAAATATCTCTTCCTTTATGCAATCCTTCCAATCCTTCGTATCTGACAAATGTCCACAAAGACTGACATTTCCTGGATCTCTTGGCTTCAAAAAATCCATTTCTTTCTCTGTTCCTCAATTGCGGTTATTTCTCCTTCCTGTTTTTAGTACTGACCTTTGCAAGTGGAACTCTTCGCTTTCTTGTATATTCAACTTCTCAAACCTCAGAAAATGAATTGGTGGTTCTTTATTATAGATAGCTGAAATTGTAGATGGTCATCATTTTGGATTTGCTGCTCATTAAAGGTAAAGGTTCCCGTTGCACATATGTGCTAGTCGTTCCTGACTCTAGGGGGTGGTGCTCATCTCCGTTTCAAAGCTGAAGAGCCAGCACTGTCCGAAGATGTCTCCGTGCACATGTGGCCGGCATGACTAAATGCCGAAGGTGCACGGAACGCTGTTAGGGACGCGGTGGCTCAGTGGCTAAGACGCTGAGATGTCGATCGAATGTTTGGCAGTTCGAATCCCTAGCGCCGCGTAATGGAGTGAGCTCCCGTTACTTGTCCCAGCTTCTGCCAATCTAGCAGTTCGAAAGCATGTAAAAATGCAAGTAGAAAAATTAGAACCACCTTAGATGGGAAGGTAACAGCATTGCTGCTCATTACGAGTCTCTAAGAGCGGATGTCATATGTCTTTGATGATTATTTTCTCCCACTATCCGAATGACTGCTATCATTTATGTTGCCCATGGCTCTTGATAGCAATCTTCTAGCAACTGGGAATGTCTAGTTTAATAGAAAGAAGGACCAGAGATGACATGATAGCAGTCTTCCAATATCTCAGGGGCTGCTACAAAGAAGAAGGAGTCAAATTACTCTCCAAAGCCCCAAAAGGCGGGACAAAAACCAATGAATGGAAATGAATCAAGGAGAAAAGCAACCAAGAACTAAGGAGAAATTTCCTGACAGTGATGACAATTAACCAGTGGAACAGTTTGCCTTCAGAAGTTGTGAGTGCTCCATCACTGGAGGTTTTTAAGAAGAGATTGGACAGCCATTTGTCTGAAATGGTATAGGGTCTCCTGCTTAAGCAGGNGGGGGCGATATGCTGACTCTGTAAACCGCTTAGAGAGGGTTGAAAGCCCTATGAAGCGGTATATAAGTCTAACTGCTATTGCTATTGCTATTATAATTTTTTTGCTTTGACCAAAACTGGCACTTTAATGACGCATGATAATGTCATGTATAAGTTGCCCCATCTAAAAGCAGTAATCCTACAGTGCCACATCCTTTCTTAAACTTCTTTCTTGTTGTTACACCATTTAAAAAAATCAAGTCACCTGGTGCAGAGGTGGTATTCAGCAGGATCTGACCAGTTTTGGAGAAGCAGCAGCGGAAACTTTGAGTAGTTCGGAGAACTGGTAAATACCACTTCTGACTGGCCCCGCTATTCTTTGCCTCCTGAGTCTCAGCTTTGAATCGGCTGGAAATGGAGATTTTGCAGTAACATTCTCCTGGAGTGGGGAAAGAATGGAGATTTTAGGGTATTCTTCCCCTGCCGTGCCCACTAAGCCATGCCACACCCACCAAGCCACGCCCACAGAACTAGTAGTAACAAAATTTGAATCCCACCTAGCGATATGTTTTGAGTCAGTATTCCAGAAAGAGCCATTATTCAAGTTATAGGCCATTTTATTTCCTTTTGTTTGCTTGAATAGTTTTAAATAATATATTAGGTGTAGAGGATGGAAATTCACAAGTTCCCTCCATAGGAATACCACTTTTGTACTTCAACTTGATAACTCACTGTCTTATTGAAATGATACTTTGCTGTAATTGATTAAACTAGATTTAATTTAAATGCATACATACATAGTATACAAAATTAAATTTGTAATTGTATTTATCAACTAAATTTACCGGTATATATTAGATATATTTCACTACCGCAGCAAAATAAATACAGCTCATGGGACTGATGCTAAGAGATGTTCCAAAAAGGATGTTTGAATGAGGAGTGAAGAGATTAGTTGTTAGAAAGGAAATCAGTAAAATTGTACATCTACTTTATAAGTCACAGCTCCTAGGAGTGTCATCCATTAGGAAAGAGTCCAGTTGCAGATCTGGTTAATTGTGAAAGTCTGCCAAAATCTCACCATCATTATGTATAATATTTTGGAGTTGTTGGATCTAAATTAGAAGCAACCTGTGTTCTCAGATTTCGTGATTATCCTAGTTGAGT